TTTTTTCTCCCCCATAGGAAACAATGGAGCTGTCAAAAGTTGGGCTGCATTGTTTCCAATGGGGGAGAAAAAAATCACATAAAATTAACGAAAAGTCAGCAACTGTTTTAAATGCTTGGGTTTGTTAGAGCACCTTCTAAATCGTGTGCAAACCTAGTTTGGCTTTGTTCTGAGTCTTCGTTATTTTTTTGTGAATTTCTTCCTCCCCCATTGAAATGCATTGAGCCCAACTTTTGACAGGTGTCAAAAGTTGGTTTCAATGCTTTCCTATGGGGGAGAAACAAATTCACCAAAAATTAATGAAAAGTCAGATCAATGCCAAATTAGGTTTGCACACGTTTTAGAAGGTGCACTAACGATTCCAAGCATTTAAAACGTTTTTTGAACATTTTAAGACACTTTTAAAATTGAAAAAACAAACATAGTTAAGTAAAACAGGGAACCTAAAAATGCATTCGCTATGTGAAGCATGGTCCCGAAATCGCTAAGCAAAAATCGCCCATAGGAAACATCGTTAAATGATGCATAGAATTCTTTTTTAAAAAAACCATCGTTAAGCAAAAACATCGCTAAACGAGGCAATCGTTAAGCGAGGCACCACTGTATTACTATTTTTTAGAATTAGTAGCCAACTGTCAATTTTTACAATATAAGCACATTTATTTCTGTGAACTGCTTTTATCCTCTGCTCTAAAAGCAAATCAGTTAACAGGTACAGTATTTTAAAAAATACAATAGTGGCTTTATTCAACATATAAAACTATTAAAAGGTACTAATAGATTCTGTTTCATAAGAAATCATGTGCTGTTACTACTTTTTAAGAAAAATGGGGAAACATTATTTTATTACTGTGATTTTTTAAAAATGTTCTTTAATAAGACGAATGTTTGACTCTTGTATCTCCCAATGGTTAGTGATGGATTAGTGGTTTTGGCTGCAGCCTGGCATCTTGGCGACAGTCCCTGTCTCATCTATTATACTTTGATAACAATAGAGGATAATGGCTACCCTACATCTGATAATGTTGTTGTGGAGGTCATGCAATATAACCCACCTTTTCAGGTAATTAATATTCTTCCAAAAAGTGTTTCATTAATTACAAGCTCCTGAGTTACAGCATGTATGGTTGTGTTGCAGTCATTTGTTGGAAATTATTTCACATTAGTCATGAAGTGATTGAAAATGTTTTATTAAACAAATATCTTGGAATTATTTTTTATGTACAGAGTATTTTGATAAGCCAAAATGGAAGAGGAAACAATTGATGAGAAACTAAGTTACAAAATAAAAAGAGAAAACTGTAGAAGTGATAGTTTTATATCTTAAGTCTTTGTTGCTTAAAAACAGATTACTTGTATTCTTATTTCTAACTTGATTATTACTACAATTTCAAAACGATACGTTTTGTAATTTGGCTTGAGAGAAACCATTTTATATAGAACATTTATATAATATTAAGTGTACCTTTAAAACAATAACAAAATGTTATGTCATTCAGAGTTTACTTGAATTGAAATTTGTATCTTGGTGTAATTTTTGCTGCAATTGCAAAACAAATGTTGCTGCAGTTAATGTTGAAAGAAGCTGATATTAAATCTCTTACTTTGACAAATATTTTTGCAGTTGTGAGTTGTATGCATGAAGTGTGTCATTATAGAAATGTAGGTGAAAGTTTGCAGTGCACAGTTCATTCATTGTCTGCTGTTCTGTCTCAGTGGATCAGTTTTCCCCATCACTGGTCTGGCACATTTTAATTTGTCTTCCCAATTACTGTTTCTGTAATACATTAAAATTGTGTATGTCACTCATTGTAATCCTTCCTGGAATTTTTTTAGCCTGAAGAACTGATGTGCCATTTGATACTACCAGATTTCTCCAGTCATGCTGCTTGTCTTTACACAGAGAATGAGTTATTTGCTTGTTCAACTGGTACAGGAAGAACTTCTTTGCCCCAAGAGAGAATGACTTTAAGTGTTCAAGGTAAGGACTCTAACTGGAGCATTTATATTGTGGATGGTGTTCATGAAGGCAGCAAGGGTATTTTCAGAGACATGGTTCTGTAAATATTAGTATATTTTCAAAAACTATAATGCACATAGCGGTTATTGACTAAATGATGGCACTAATAATGATATATAAAACCCTCAATGGGCTGAATAGTATAATGTATTTACACTGGTCTAACTATTAGCATAGATCTTGGGGATTAATTGACACAGCAAGTCTGTATACACATTTACCTTTTGCACGGTGAGTTGGTATACAGTGGCATATGCCTCTACTGACATCTTTTAGTGTAGGCATCCTTCAGTCTTGAGAGACTATGGTAACGTGCTCTGAATAGAGGACTTGGAACAGCGTCTGGTGTGGCTGAGAAGGCCAATTCGAGAGTAACCATTGCTTCCACACCGAAGACAAATACCGTCTGACCCCTGTCCCTCCCTGATTTTACTGGGTTTGGGACTGTCTCTTTGCCTTGGCCTGCTGAACAAGTGCCTCTTCAAACTGGGAGAGGCCATGCTGCACCTCCTGCCTCCAGGCTGAACGCTCAGATGTCAAGGTTTCCCATCTGTTGAGGTCCATTCCTAAGGCCTTCAGACCCCATTTGCAGATATCCTTGTATTGCAGCTGTGGTCTCCCTCTGGGGTGATTTCCCTGCACTAATTCTCCATTCAGGAGATCTTTAAGAACCTGACCATCAGCCATTCTCACAACATGCCCAAGCCAGTGTAGACATTGCTGTTTCAGTAATATATACATGCTAAAAATTCTAGCTCGTGCTAGGACTATTCTATTTGGAACTTTGTCCTGCCAGGTGATACAAAAATGCATTGGAGACCATGCATGTGGAACGTGTTCAACTTAATCTCCTGCCGTGTAGAAAAGGTCCAGGATTCACTGCAGTACAAGAGTGTACCCAGGACACAGGCTCTATAGATCTGGTTCTTGGTATATGCCATCAGCTTCTTATTAAGCCACACTCTCTTTGTGAGTGTAGAGAACATGGTAGCTGCTTTGCCAATGTTTTTATCCAGCTTGACATCTAGAGAGAGAGTGTCAGAGATAATTGAGCCAACATACACATGAACAACCTCCAATTCTTGAGTAGAGATGGTAATAGAGGGAGGTGAGTCCATGCCCTGGCCCATGACTTGTGTTTTCTTCAGGCTGATTGTTAATCCAAAGTCTTGGCAGGCCTTGCTAAAACGATTCATAAGTTGTTGGAGCTCTTTAGCAGAATGGGCAAGAATAGCTGCATCATCGGCAAAGAGGAAGTCCCACATGCATTTCAGCTGGACTTTGGTCTTTGCTCTCAATCTAGCGAGATTAAAGAGCTTTCCATCTGATCTAGTCCAGAGACAGACACCTTCTGTTGCAGTTCCAAAGGCATGCTTCAGCATGACAGAAAAAAAAGCCCAAACAGAGTCAGCTCGAGGACACAGTCCTGTTTCAATCCGTTTCAGATGTCAAAGGGATCTGATGTTGAGCCATCAATGTTAAGGAGTCAAGGTGGACATCCAGTCTTTTTAAAAGGCCATCCCTGCTAGCCAAATCAAAGGCCTTTGTGAGATCTATGAAGGTCTCACCTTTATTGGTATCACCTGGGGCTCGTTAGCCTTGGAAGGCTGACATCTTAGTTTGTGGCGATTTGCCATTGAGATGCATGTCAGTTGAGTCATGCCAGTGGGTATAACTAATAGAATTCTTAATGTTGCATTGCATGCATAGGGTGCATGGGGCAAGAATTTCTTCATCTAGTATCTCTTCCGCCTAATGATTCTGAAAGCCATCCCAATTAACCTTCTTAGTAGATTTTGATATAAAACCCACAGTGCAGCATCCATTAACGGTGATGATGTTGGTTTGGTTCTTTTTTTGTCTTTTGTTAGGTGATATCATTTTAGGAGCAGGTTCTGCAACCGGACATCCCATCTTTTTTACTAGAAAACAAGGACTTGTGGCCCTATATCCCAGGGAAACCATTTCTGTGATTCCTGGAGACATTGAGGAGTCTTTAGCCTCCTCTCTAGCTGAGCCAAATGATGAGGTAATCATCATTACTTAGAACTTTTAAGTGTCTGAAGAAGAAATATAGAGGGAGTGTTGTCCTAATTTTCTTACCCTGATTAAAGATGCTTAATTTTTACAGTTACCATATCTTGCAGAATAAAACTGATCATTGTGAAAGGATTTTTCTTTATTGGCTTTACGCGTTTCTGTTTTCTGTTTCAGACTATTGCATTTGATGCTTCTTCCCGAATGGATATTATAGCACAAGAGGATAAATCAAAAATGTTAAAATCTGCTTTTTTGCAGTATTACAGGTACAAAAAGCATGCCATATACATTTCACTCTGAGAAGTATAGCGTGGATAGCTGGGTATCTCAGTGGTTTAGGTATCTGGCTATGGAGATTGGGAGTTTGATTCCCCAGTGTGCATCTTAGAAGAGCTAGCCTTTGTGGCCTTGGGCAAGCTGCAGAGTCCCTGGGAAGTCCCCCAGAAGAAAGGAATGGCCAACCATGTCTGAATATTCTCGACCTGCAAAATGCTGAAAAAGGTTGCAATAAGTCAGAATTGACTTAGACAACACACACTTTAGAAGTCTAGTGTGTTACTTTGTGTGATATCAATGAGGTAGAAAGAAATTATCACTATTTTGAAGAGTTTAAAGTGAATAAGGTCATGGTTTTGATGGAACAAAAGCAGATTTTGCACTGTTTGTTCTTAACATATCAGTGAAGAAACTACATATATCTGTTTAAGACTGAATAAATCCTTATATTCCATTGTATTATTTCATGTAAGTTGTGTATAATCTTCATAAAGTTCTCATGGAGTAGTACAGTGGTGCCTCGCAAGACGAACGCCTCGCAGGACGAAAAGCCCGCAAGATGATTGTTTTTTGTGATCACTATGGTGCCTCGCAAGACGGCTTCTTCTATGGCCGTGCTTAGCAAGACG